ATGAACCAAGCTAGGTTGACCTAGACACTGATCTTTCAACAACAACAGCAACTGCATTTATATAACACTCTTTATGTAGCATAGAATCTTAGGGCACTTTACACAGACCAGGTTGGAGGCCGAATAAGGGAGATGGGAGAGGTGTGCTATGCTAGAGGCCATCTGCCCAGCTCCTTTTAACCTAATGGTTGTCTTCATGCACACAAACTTAAAACACCACAGAATACTCTGCACACCAATTTTGCTGTTTGTATTCTGTTCCTAATGTATGCTAGAATGGATGGGATAAATACAGCACTGAGATGGAAGGCCTTTTACTTGCAGACCAATAATTCAAAATAAATTGGCAAATAACCTTAATCAACAGCAATCATCTGCATAATTACTGATTCTGACCTCTCGCACTGTAAATTCCTATTATTCTATGATTCCTCATGCTTGTGTGTTCGGCTGGCCACTGTTAACTGCTGGTTATGGTGTGCTAGGTCAGTGTGTTTTTTAAGCCCAATTGTTCCATCAAAGCTTGAAAACAGCAACCTGGGTTATGAGCTGTGTAAAGTGGTCCAAGATGCTATCTCACATAAAGGGTGTTTTATAAATGCAAGTTGCTGTTGTTGTTGAAAGATCAACATCTGGTTCAACCAAGCTTGGTTCATCGAGAGTAAGAGAGCGATAAAACTGAAAAAGATAAAATTGAAAACAATGAATATTCGTCTGTTAATAAATCAAGCCAAAGACTACTTAATGAATGGCAGTTCATTAAGAATTGTCAATGAACATGAGGCTGTTCTTTGGCAATTCTTAAAGTATTCAACTTGGCAGGCAAGAAACACGCTCTTCTCGCTAAGTGTAACTCCTTTGGCTATAAGCATGTAAATTAGAAAATCTAAGCACTGCTTTCAGTGGAGCACTGGAGGAATTGGGGAGTCCAGTCTGATCACTGAAACATCATGTTTTAGTACCGACCCTTGAAAGCATGAACACAGCACCCTGTGTTATGAGCTGGTTAGGTTTAACACGATTATTCTTGTGGAGAAGAGTTGATGGCACGAGAGTTTTAAAGCTGCGCATCTGTATTTTTAATTGGAAACAGAGAACCTAGATTTAAATATTTCAACTATTACACTTTATTTGTGGATTGACTGAAACCTGCCTTAATTGAAATGAAGAAACTTTCTTGTGGGAGGGTGAATAAGAGCTGATTGAGGAGACAGACAATTCTGTTTTGAAAGGTGACCCTTCAGCACATAAACACTTCATCTCAATCAGCTTGCCATCTGTGATTCCTGAGGTGAAGCCTTTTTTGGTCATGCCCGTCTCCGTCCATTGATGACCCAAATAAAACTTGATTGTATGCTTTTGATTTGTTGAATCTTTGCAGCCTGCATTTTTGATGCTGTGAAATAACCTGGTGTTTCAACACACGGTGCTGAAATTGAATGCAAAACCTTAACGTTTTGCAGGGGGTTCTAAACAAAAATGATGAATTGAGTTTGAAAACAGGACAAAGGCAATTTGTCTTCCTCCCCACCCTTCCTATAGAATGATTCTTCGTGATTTCAGTGAGTGAGTGGAAGCAGAGATTGCCTTATACTGCTCGTCCAGTATTGTATTGCACTGAGATCGCTATCTTTTACTACCTCAGTTCAGGAGATAGCAAACACAATGAGTTTTTCTGATGGGGAGAGTTCTGTATTTCTGTCTGATCCACTGTTGAGTGTTGAAGGTACATACTGTATTTTAATCTTTGGTTTTACAGTGGTGTACAAATAGATGTGGTTTACAAAGGCCCTATTATAAGTTGTATTGTAAATTTCAGTAAAAAATTTTAAAAATTGCACTTCATGTGATTTCTTGCAATGAAAAATGCATTTTCACTAAATTATATGATAATAAAAATAGTTGCATTTAACATAACGCATGTTGGGAGGACATCTCAAAGTGCTTCACAGGAATATTGTAAAGTGTAGTTATTGTGTATTTTGTAGGTCAATGGGATGCCTTTTAAATGTGTCTGTTTGCACATCTCTATTGGGGTGAAGGAAAGTTCAGATTTTTTTGAAGTCCAGATGAAGTTGTGACATAATTAATACTAATCACATTTGATATATTGCCTGATCATGCCATCAAGATGTTTCCAAGTGCTTCACAGGATTTTACTGTGAAGTGTAGTGACTGTAATTCAGTTTTATGCTTATTGAGTGCACATAAGGAATGTTTGTAATATGTGAATTGGATAAGTGTGGCTTATTTAGATGTAATTAGCACGCTCTTTATTGCATGGTTCTAAATCATGTAAATGACATTACAAGTTGTATACTTTCCTGGCCATTCGCCTGGTTTCTGCGGTCACTGGCGAGTCTGTAGATTGGATGTTGTTGCCAATTCTTTGGCTCTATTTGCGCAACTGATTGCCGCGTTTCGCCCACAGAATACACAGTCAATCCACATTACAGTATATCCTGTGAAGCGGTTTGAGATGTATCAATAACATGATGTGGTGCTATATCAAATGCAAATGTTAATATTTGTGGGCGTTCGCCCACAAATATACAGTCAATTCACTTTACAGTATATTCTGTGAAGCGCTTTGGGACGTCCTCCTGACGTGAAAAGCGCTATATCAAATGCAAGGATTATTATTATTATTAATATTATCTGTTCCACACGGGTAATAATAATAATAATCCTTGCATTTGATATAGTGCTTTTCAGTTCTTCTAGACGTCTCCAAGCTCTTCACCGAATATGCTGTAAAGTGAATTGACTATATTTGTGGGCAAAATGTGGCAGCCAATTGCGCACAGCAGTGTCCCACAAACAGTCGTGGATTGAAAATGAACAATTTATTATTGTTTTTATTTTTTGGAGGGATTATTATTAGGCGTGTGGAGTAAGGAAACTTGCCCTGGAATTGAACCCAGGTGTCTCGCTTGCAAGGCGAGTGCTCTTAACCACTGAGCTACAGGACTCCTAAACAGGGTATTCACTAAGATGTAGGAATCCATGTAGAGATGGGAGCAATGATTCATTCAGGAGTACACACTACACGTTAATTGGAATGCAAGATTATTCCAGCTGCAGTGAACACTTGAGCAGACATGGCATGAAGGACAAGTGTCAACTGATTAACACTGTATTTCTGTTTCTTTGCCATGTGTTAACATTGAGTCAAATGTCCATTGCTAATCCCTGGGGATTGAACAACGCTGTTTTCTTCTATACCAAGACCTCATCCCTTGAAACAAAACCCAGAAAATGCTTCAAGTGCACTGCAAGTCGATCAGTATCTGAGGGAGAAACTAGGTTAAAGTTTGGTGTGCAACACTGGGTTTTGATGAAGAATGGCCTTCGAAATGCTAACTTGACTTTTTCTTTTACCTGCTGTGCATTTTGGTTTGGATTTCCAGCAACTGCAGCTTTTCTAAGGTGTACAAGCACATTTAGCTGGGACAAAGGAAACGTTTCTAACAGGATATTTGTAATGAGGTTTGACTATAATAAATCGTATGTAATATTCATTCTGACCTTTTCATTGTAGCCAGTATTCAACATTTTCTCTTTGTTCGGTTTCCAATTATTATTCACTTTTCTCTCATTTCAATCTCGTTTCCTTTTTTTCTCCTCTTTTATGCAGTATTTCGTCCACAAAACGTGCAGTCAATTCACTTCACAGTATATTCTGTGAAGTGATTTGATGTCTCGAAGACGTGAAAAGGTGCTATATCAAATGCAAGGACTTATTATTTGGAGTCTGAGATAGCTGCAGTATAGCTAATATATAGCTAACTATATTCTTTGGACTTTTTTGCCAACTGTACATTGCATCCAATCTTGATATCAAAGCTCATAGAATAAGCACTGTCGGGGGCTGGGGGTGGTGGGGGATTTGTCTCTTCATTTTCTTACTTGAGAATCCTATGAAACTAAAGGTGGGAGCACTGAGGTCATTCAGGAGCCTGAATTTCACATGCATCACATTGCTTTGTGAATAAAACATAATCCAGTTTGCTTTGTTCTTAGAGAGATAGTTGGATTGGTGCGCTTTGGATACCAGTGTGAAATCAGTATGGAAAGTTCATAAGGATATTGTAGTGACAACATTATATTGGTATTTGTCCTTTACAGCAGCTGAATGGATGCCTGCAGATCTTAGCAGGGCCGTATTTCTTTGAGAACTGGCTCTCCTCTATAAACTTTAACAGGACTTTAGCAGGCACTGGGGAGAACTGCAATGGTCCATTACAATGACTTAATACAGTATAAATATATTCTGGGTGCATTCTGCACTTTTCACATGAAGGTTAGTGATGTACTCTTTTTAGGAGAGTGTTTTATGGGCCTGATTAGTTTTGCAGAATGTTTGAAAAAGCTTGCTTCTCCTAAGGGTTAAATGAAACCAAATGTAGCAGATCAGGGTTTAATGTAGCAGAAGTAGTTATTTTTATATAAAACAAAAGGTGGAAGGACTGATTCCCATCATGTTCCACCGCCCTCACAAGTTTTTGGTGGAGTGTTAAGTTTGGCATTGAATCTGATAAAGAATGGAACTGGAGAGTCAAACTAGACAGGACCATAATAAAATTTGTATTTGTAAGTAACTATTTGGATACAAGTTTTGCTGGGAGGGATAAAAAAAATAATTTGATCACTTAATTTAGAACTATAAATTATTCCAAAACGATTAGTGGGCAGAGGGACACTTCTGTTCGCAATTGGCTGCCCCGTTTCGCCCACAAAAATATACAGTCAATTCACTTTATAGAATATTCTGTGAAGCGCTTTGAGACACTTTGATATAGTGCCTTAGTGATAAGGCACTATATCAAATGCAAGGATTATTATTATAGATGTAGGAACTCTTGTGTTGAGTTGGATAGATAGCTTCAGCAAAGAAGACCTTTTTCAAATATAAATGCTTAATTTGTTGATGTCTATGGGTGTAGGGAAGGCAGGACCTTTAATGTGGGAGATATTTAATCTTATCTCTTCTATTTCAGGAATTGAAAACCACAGGCAGATAATCATGTGTATTCTGTATCACATCACCATGGATGACCGCTTCAAATCCATGTTTGCATACACTGACTGCATCCCACAGGTACAGAATCTATCTGCATGAGTGATTCAATCAGACACTTTGGCTGTTGCGTGGCTCGCAGTGGTTGGAGAATAATGCATCAAAAATACATCTTGATCCAGAATGTTTGAAAGGAGAGCAGCTTTGCGGAAGAAATTCCTGCCAGGAGTTTTTTTTAAGCTCCCTCGGTTATTTCAGGCTTAGTGGGGAAAAAAAGTTGTATGTTTCTAAGTTTTTCTGTCAAATATAACAGACGATGTTACAAAGTGCAAGTGGGGAATGCAAAACGTTTGTGGTCTTGGAACTTTACCCAAAGGGTATTTATTTATCAGCACTGATCAAAAGTAATACCCATACAGTGATGTAATGGTGTTATTTAAAGCCAGATGCATTATAATAGAGTATCTACTCCTCTGCTGGATATCTAGGTTTTATAGAACTATTGTTTCAACGCTTCCTTTTGATCTTTCCTTTCTCTCTCGCTAATGGAATGCTGCTGAAAGTCCTCTCTTACAGCACCCTTTGCTCTTTGAAGTCATTATCTGCCGAACTTCATAAACCAGTCGATCAGATCAAACGGTAGGCCCGGGAGTCATTGGTCAGTGTAGAGATTTTGGAGGAAAGCAAGTTTTCTGGCGTAATCATTCAAAGATGTTGGAGGGGAAGGTGTGTGGATGTGGGGAGTGCAGGGTTGGCCTCTGGTTGCTGGTAAATAAGTGAAGTCAGGTGCCAGAGAGTCTAGACGGAGTGATTTCAGCCTGGGACTGTGGTATCTGATACTCAATATGGGAATTGTCTGAAGGAATACCACTGCTTCTTCACTCCAGATTCAACATCTAAGTACCTTCCTGCTAAATCAGTGACTGACGACAATAACCACATTTTAGACTGGGAGCGCTTTCTTTTTGGTATAATTTACTGCTAGTGTCGTGCTTAGTCTCTCCCTGATAATAATAGGAATAATCAGCAGAGTTTTAGTAGTGTTTGCAGGTAAGTTGTGGCCTTGTCTTTGCATTAATTTGCAGCTGATTTGTAGAAATATAAAGAATGCAGAATCTTACTCCAGAGTTGGTTTGAAGTGCAAACACCCAAACGCTTGTCAGAGTTGAATTCTGGCCAACAGAGGAGATTCACGTCAGAACAGAACAATTTCTCCGGTAAAAAGAAAATTTATTTGGAGAATCTGAGAACAAAAACTGCATAAATCACTCCTCTTGTTTAACTGTTAATCTGTAATCACAATTCAGGTTGAATGTTTGCTTTATTGCCTGATGCTGCTCTCTCTATTTTTTTCAAACAAATCCTGTCTGCTGCTTTCTTCGTAGAATCGTAGAATGTTCACAGCAATTGAAGGAGACTATTCGTCCCATCTTTCATCTGCTGGCACGCAAAACAGTTGTATTCTCTTAATTCAAAACATTGAAGGTGGTTTATGTTTTTGCCCCTGCCAGTTTTCCTAGGCTGTTTGCAGTCGCATGTGCTTCTCCGGAGAATCCAACTGAGCCACAGATAATTCCCTGAGAGCCCAGCGTGTCACTCAGCGGTTAGCTAGTAGGATGTAAAGAATGGGTAACAAAGCCGATCAGGGATCTATTTCTGTCATCCCAGGAAATCCCTCCTCCACATTCCCAACCCTGGAAGGGAATTTCGTTTGTTACTTCCACATGGCTTTGTGCCCACTAGTCCAAGTAGAAGAGATAACGGCCAAGATCCCCAAGCTTGACAGTGCCATCTAATGGGTTTAGTTAGAACTCTATATATTTTTCCATAGTTTGAACCTATCAGGCTCAGTTCAAATGGCCCCCAGCACCCAGGTCCCAGGATGAATAGTTTGTTCACAATCAAACTAAGCTAGCATATGAAGATTTGTACAATATCAACAAAAGATTTATACTTTTGTCAAAACTGCTTGTTTGTTCTCTGAATTTTCGAGTATGATTGTACATGTAGAACATCCTGAAAGATCCATCAGGCTTGTACAGCTGGTTAGTTCCTGTGAATGGCTTCCTAGTGTAACACAGTAACCTAGGAGAGATGCAGTAACATTTGAAAGCAATTGCAGAGCTTGACGTCTGAGTGCTGCTCTTTTGACAGCTAATGAAGATGTTGTTTGAATGTTCAGAAGAGCACATCGATATGGAATTAATATCCTTCAGTATCAACTTGGCTTCCAACAAGAGAAACGCACAACTGATCTGCAAAGGTAAGAAACCCATCTGTCTGACACCCTCAGAACAATCTGGTCACATAGCGGCAGATTATCACATTTGTAATCCAAGTGGAAGAGATTTGTATTTGTGAAATACTTCACTATTCTTAAATGTCTTTTTAAAAATATAAGGAGTAATACTTTTATATAGTGTTATGCATCCTGTGGCATGGACATTAGGACTGAGGTAGATGTGCTGACTGTTCAATGCTGCCTTTTCTTTGCCTCCATACTTCCATGGGATGCACGTGGCACGGTGATTCACTGAACACATGACATGATTGCCTAAGCTGTGCAATAACACAAACTGTACTACGGGTGAAGGCTGAGAGATGCACCTGAATATCACAAGACTTTTTTTTTGCCCTGTGGCAGTTGCAAAAATAAGCATTGATGTTTCGAGCCAAAATCGCTGCCATTGCGTGATGACACCATACAATTCCTCACATATCCTGTTGCTGTGGTAGCAATTTGTTTTACTGAAATAAAAGCAAATTTATAGAGGAAGCAACTGATCTAACTCCAAAAAGGCTTCTGGCAAGTGCAGCCCACAGAAATGTGGCTGCTTTTCATTGCAGGTGGAAGCAGGCTTCCAGGGCAACTCACAATATTAAAAAGTGGTGTGTGTTTATATATATATATATATATATATATATAATATATACACGCACACACATTTGTTCTGAAGTTCTCAATCCCATGTTGGAACTTGCAGTAAAATTGTAATGGTCACACGCAGGCGTGAAAAATGCTGCAATTGCGTTTCAGCTGCCACGTATTTGAGAATAATTTGAGAAAGACGTGTCTGTTCACTTGAGCTGATAAAAGGAAGAATAACAGATTTGAACACTTGCAAGCAACTTGCAGAGTCTTTTCAATCTACTGTACTTCACTGAATGTTTGAAGTCCAGAGGAGCACTTAACGTTGATTAACCTCCTGTTTGTATATCACCCAGACCTTTGGATGTCTGTCTTGGTTGTCGCAAGTAATATCTGGTTTTGCCAGAAAACTACAAAGACCCTTTATTTCAGGTGTGACTATTTTAAATTTACCAATGTTTGTTCTGCCTGATTTATAAAGGATTTTTATTTGAAGTCAAAAGAGGGTTACTATGTTGTCACCAAAAGTTAACAGGTGCTTGCTTATAAGTGAAGATTTTAAAGTTGACACCAAGTAAAACATTCCTGTTGGGGAGTGATCAATAAAGTAGATACCCCCCAACACACCCACTGTTTCACCTGAAAATTGGCAAATGGCCAACCTGCTTCTGGATGTCTGAAGTAGTGCAATCTAAACCTTTTAAAATGTCTGTTCCTTAGAGCTGTTTAAACCCAGGAAAGTAGATTACTACCTGGGTATAAGTTGAATTCACTCCACCATCGAACATTCCCGAAGTGGAGTTACCTCGAATTAGCTCTTGGCTGTTTCAAAGCTTTAATCCTCGCAAAAGTTAATGGAGCTTTAGATGGCTTTCTTCCACAATTCTCCCCTCCCCCCTCCCCACAACAGACAGCTTTTAATGTAGGAGGAAGCAGTGCCAGATAATTTATTAAAGGCAGAATTCCTTGATTTGGGGAATTAATTGAAACATAAGAGGTTTCCTTCGAAGAGGACTTGGAACAAAATGTCCTCCCTCTAGTATATTTTCCTTTTAATGTGGTAACAATGTTTGTGTCTTTCTGATTTGTATGACAGCAACCGTTTGAAGTGGTGAGGTTGACTAGAGGAATCTAGTATTTATGGTGATCGTGTTTATAATGCTATTTATAATCTAGTAAATTTGAAGCATGGGCTCATTCAATTTAACTTCAACACTATTGAACACAAACACAGATTAACAGGAACAGATTAGATTAGGTGACTAGCTTAGATTAGTATCTTTTTCCCAGACGGCTCAATTGACCATTCGATTGCCTTGCTAATGATTGGAGATGCTATTCGCTCCTTTGGTCATGCAGTGGAAAGTTGTGGTCTCCTCAAGGATAGGATCTGATTGAGAAAGTGAACTAACTGGATGTTAACACTAAACCAGCTGGACTGATGTAACTTAATTTTTATCAAATGTTAAATATGCCCATTTGTATTTAACATTTGAACCGGCCTCCCGTTATTAAATTATATTGACAAAATTAATTACAATTTGTATTAATAATAATTTAATGAAATTAATTACAAACCAGAAACATTCTTACTTTATGTGCTTGCTTGTGGCAAAATCCCACTTGTATTCTTCAGGTGCAAACTCTATGCCAGGTGCGTGCATCCACGACTAACCAGGTCTTCAGGCAACCACACTAGTTGAGTGTGATTTTCTGCGTTGTGCAGAGGGGCATTCAGTATTGCTTTCAATGGAAGTTCCTGAAAACTGCAGGTTGCAAATGCCAACTAGCGTTATCGGTTATTGAAAACTGCTGTGAACCCAGTGTAATTTTTTCAAGAAACCTAAGGTTGTTAGAATATCTCCCCCACGTCCCCCCTAAAACAAACCACCCATATCACTGTGGCAGCTGCTGCTGTAATATAATAGATGGGTGAGCTTATTAAACACATTTGTGGATTTAACACTCACATTTTCTTGGTAGTTCACCTATAACCTATATTATTAACTTATCGCACCAGTAATTTTATAATGTTCCACCAAACACCTTTTGCCTTTAAATTTCCAGTATGGAGGTTCTTTTTTGCTAATCCTTGCTGATATTTCTTTGCGGTTCACATGATTTGGGACACAAGGAGTTACCATGTTACCTGGTGTCTGCTTTTGGAGGAACATGTGGAGTTCTCAAACACTGGTGTCACAGCCCTAACTGAGTTTAAACGCACCAATACTAGACTACTTTTCAACAATAATCTATGGAGTAACTTTCGATTTTTCGGGTTTATATTTTTTAAGTCCTTTATATTCTCTGAATATACATACTTTTCATGCTTATAATCTTTGTTGAATTTTTACTATTGTACTGAAGCAATGTGCAGTTTCGTTTTGTAAACAAATGTGATATCTCATTCCAAGGTAACTTCATATTTTTAAATAGTTTCCATGTTAACTTTCCTTAAGTGTGTATTTTTCCAATTTTTTTTTAAATTGACCAAATGAACGTTTGTAATCCCTTGATTTAAAATGTAGTTATTCCTGTTTACTTACAATAGCAAATAATTGACGTGGAACATGCTTAATCAGGAAACTGCTGAAATCGGTACATGCCTAATCATATTATTTTGCTGAGAAAATTGACTCAAGATGGCTAACTTTGAACATTATACATTTTAGGAAATGGGCTGAGAATGCTAATGAAAAGAGCCTTCAAATTCAAAGATTCACTACTGATGAAAATGATCAGGAACATTTCTCAGCACGAAGGTCAAACCAAAAATTTATTCATTGTAAGTATGGGGGAACGTATTTACTTGCAAGTAATCAGGAGCTCGTGTAGGGCTGTGTTTTTATTCCGTGTGCACGCATATGTGGTTAACTAAAACTAACTTGATAACGAGTGGTTGTTGCAACATCTCTTCCTTCCCTTCCCCCACCCTCAAGATGATCAGCATGCAAATGGATTGCTTTTTAAACCAGTACAATTAGTCTTTCACGGTCTGCACAATTTAGGAGACTGGCAGTCGCAATCTCCTATGGTATGAATTGTTAGTGTCTGTGCCCTGCTCCTTTTAGATCATGATAAACTTATATATGGAACATTCCAAGAGTTCTTCAACTGAAATGATCAAATAAGGTATTCAGTAGAGCACAGGTTCACAATAAGATTCTAATTTTGGAAAGAATTGAGATCCTGCAACAGCAAAATGTGCCTCATTAATAGTATCTAAGTCCCCAGGTTTGTGCTTCTTTATGTTTAAGCCACATTTAATCAGGCTCAAAGGATTCAAAGAACATGATTTGTTAATGTTAAGAATGCTAGAATTCTTAAGCATTTATCTGTAGATAAATGCAAAAGGTGCGTCAATATTGCTGATGTACTGTACGTAATATTAGTAATAATCCTTGTATTTGATGTAGCACCTGTAACGTTTAGCGTCTAAAAGTGATTCACTAGTAAGTACTGTTAAGTGTAGTGACGATTTGTAGGTGTACGTGCAGCCAATTTACACATAGCAAAGTCTTCAAATATTATTTTAATTTCAATGTCCTGTGATCGAGTGGATATCATTTGCCTGCAATGCAGCATGTTTTTCCTGTGTTATTTATTAACAAAGGGGAAATATATCCAGGTCTCTGGTAAACATTTTGCGATTCCAATCTAGCTCAGTCCTTTATATTTGAGATTACTGAATCCACTTGTTATTAACAAAAGTTTTCTTATTTAGTTTTATTGTTGCCTGCCATCTATGTTAATTTCTTTACAAACCTCCATTTCGAATGTGCAGATCCTTACCTTGTGCAACGCCCTCCAGCAACAAAAATGTATCCAATGTTTTAAAAATTAGTCCAATGATAATTACATCACCACACATCAGTATATTCCATTAAACATCCCCTTAAGGAAGAAATTATGTTCAATTTACTTTTGACGTTTATTTTTCAAATTATTTTTTCTATGTTTCCATTTCTATTGAAATTAGATTTCCAGTTTTAATCAATTCCTCTCACCAGTTTAAATACTTGTATTTCCTCAAGAATATTGGGGTCTGACAATTTATCTTGGTATCATTTCCAGGCCAGCTAATATTACTGTGGTCTTAACCAGACGCGTGTAGCCCACTCAACATCCGTCAATGGGTCACAGTGAAGGGAGTTATCAACAGCTTGTTTGTCTTGTAACTAGATTTGTTGGTAAACTCTGGTGATTTGATCTGTTTCATGCTTTGGCTTGTCTGGGAAGTCACTGATGAATATCAGGAACTTATTGGGCTCCAGGACACTAATACTGGACGCTGTTTTATTTTGCATTCATTCTTAGCATTGCGACCACCCTTCAAATAAGTTTAATCAGGAAACCAGATCAGCAGTTCAGCAATTTACTATTGATGTCGTAAGTGACAAGTTTACAAACTCAGTATCTGATGGAGGGCTATCAAATGTCTGGTTTATATCAGGGGCACCAGGCAACTCTTCCCAGATGGATGCATTGCATCAAGCTCTTTTGGTCGCTTGTGAAATGCAGTGGTTGTAACCCAAATTGTCCCAGAGAGAGAGAGAGGCCCTCTGCTGCTTACTTCTCGCTTCACGGCCACTCATTGATCGTTTATTATTATTATTTCTCCTATTTTCCCAGCAATGAGGATGAGCGAGTGAAAATTGGCTAATCAGAAATTGGTCTGGATCAGATCTGGATCCTCAGGATCATCTTCACCAACAGTGCAATACAAAGTTACATTTATATAGGGCCTATCACATCAGGAGGACATCCCGAGTCACTTACTTGTCTCTGTACCTCATGTTACCTGACATTGGCTCAAACTGATGTGATATTAGGGAGACAGTCACAGTTGAATTTAGCATATAATAATAATAATAATAATCCTTGCATTTGATATAGCGCTTTTCACGTCGGGAGGACGTCCCAAAGTGCTTTATATAGCATTAAAGCCATTTGCCACTTCTCTGCCAAGTGTTCTTTCCATGTGTAAACACTGCGTCATCCAGACAACTGCTCAAATATTTAAAGCAGAGAACCTAGGATCAGTAATCTCTGTTGACTATCTGTTGGGAGCAGGAGATTATCATTTGAATTGGTGGAAAAAAGAAAAGATGTATTTTCCGATCCCAAAATAAGTTCCCACGAGTTTTCCCCACCAGGAGATCTTTAACGTAAACCTCCAGTCTGAATAAACCAGAGTTTAATATGGTCAGAACAATAGATACTTCTGTAGAACTCTTAACTTAAAAGTTTTTTGAACTTTATTATGGACCTGCCATTGTTACAGCATAAAGTGCTTAAGACACTGTGGTGTCTTGTCTTAGTTTTTCAGAAGTACTTAGTCTAAGTAGACCAATTGTTTCAAAGACAGTGTAGTATAAACACATTTGCTTCCCTGTCCCTGTTTTTCACCTTTCTCCCTCCGCCGCCCACCAATTTGTGCATTTGCCTTTAAGCCAAAAACTCATTGCTGTAAGAATCTGTACTCATAAAGCAAGATTGGAAAGTTATCTGTTAATCTTGCAGTCATAAATTGTAGAAACATGACCTGAGTTATGAAGAGCTAAGCAGTAAAACCTTCAGTGTAACTCAGTGCTTCAGATTACCACCTGAAACAATGTGGTCCACACACTCGTCCAGCAATCAACAAGGAAAGTAACTGGCATTTAATCACAAACTATAAAAGGGAATGTTACACAAGCTGATGTAAAAGAAAGATGCAGTTATTAAAAATCTGAGAGGTTCCTGTGATATAATTAAGTTGTCTGTGTTTTTGTTAAAAGAATATAAAGATGGGTAGCTCTATTCTGTTTGGCTGTGATCATGAGTAGACCATATTATCTGGATACATGCGAGTTTCGGGCCACACTGGGTGCCCAGACCTGCACATTATGAAATCTTGATATTGTGCTTAGACAATCTGATTCTACAAAGTTCTGAAATTTGCTGATGGTGGTTATGGCTTTGTTTTTAAAATTCCATTTACCTGAAGTTGCAACATAACTTACGTTTATATTTTGTTTCATGTTTATTTGTGTGGCTGTGTGCATATTGGCTGCTGTGTTTACCCACAAAACAGTCACTACACCTTACAGTATATCCTGTGAAGGGTTTTGAGACATCCTTTTGATGTGAAAGGTGCTGTACCAAATGCAAGTATTACTATTATTTATTATTATTATAATTGTATAGCACCCTTCATGTAGGATAATGTCTCAGAGCGCTGTTTAAAACTCATAGGTTCACAAACTTCAGTTTTGACTTGAACTTGTGTCCAGTAAGTAGATTTGCATTCCGACACCACATTTCATAAAATAAATTTATAAAATGTTAGGAATTATAAGATGTGGTTGTCTAAATTGACATCTCGTTTCATAAATGTGATCAATGGAGCACTTTGTTACTCAAAAGAATTAAGGGTTCTTCTGGTTAATTTCTTTTTTATTGTCACTGCATTTTCAAATACTTATCATAAATGATCTTTTTTTTCTTTCAGGACTATGTTGGGGACCTGGCAGCGCAGATCACTAAAGATGAAAATGAAGAGTTTGTTATTGAGTGTCTTGGAACACTTGCTAATCTTACAATCACAGATCTGGATTGGGAGCTTGTACTGAAGGAGTATAATTTGGTTCCCTACTTCAAAGACAAGTTAAAACCAGGTTTGTTGAGTCATAATCTAATAAAAGAAAAGAAATTGAAAGGAGAGACTACCCTGGAAAGAAAATAAAACATTTTTATCACAAGTTCAGTTGAGCATACAGAATCAGTCCAAGTAACGTGTTATTCTTATTCAATATCCTGAAAAATAGAATGCTGCGCAGCGCTTTTTCAGACGTTACATGACATTACATTGTTTTTAAGTCCTCTTATTCTATTGCCCTTTACTATAAGTTTGGGAAAAATCTAAGCCTTTTGCTTCGAATTGTACTCAGCCTCTTGTGTTTGTATCAAAGACAAGAGGCTGAGTATACAACTCTCCAGGCAGTGAACAAGCTTCAATCTTAAAAGGCTGGTAACTCATCCAATCTCTTTTTAACTTCGGCTCTGGCTGGATTTGCACATCTGCTAGTGAGAAGGCAAGTGGGTATGTTGTCTTGCTTGCCCTCCAGGAGATGCAGTTTTCCACTCAGGCAGAAAATCTTTCATTCTGCCTTTCCTTCTCTGTGGAGAGATGACAACCTTTGCCCCATACAGCTCAGAATGAGAACTGATTCGCGTTTTGGGGGAAAATCAGGCTGTGACCTTACTATTTGGCAATGCTGCGCTCTGATTGCTAACTTGTTATCCTTTAAAGTGGGTAGGTTTGCATGGACAATGAGCACTATCTGCATTGCAACACTTGCAAAAAATAATAGAAACGTCTGGCAGTGAGTTTCAAGGCAGTAAAAAGTTATGGATTTTGATTTTAAATCCCTGAGCGCTCCACTCTTGTGACTTGACATTATCCGAACCTCTTGATTCAATTACCTTGTTGTATCTTGGTGTCAGATCTGTATGTATGCTGGATGTCCATTTCAGTACAGAGCTCCAGGAGAAGTAATCTTTCAAAACACTTATTTGTATCTGGTTTCAACATGTTTGGCTATTCAGTGTGTTATTTTTAGCGATTAAAATGGTTATTAAGTATTTTTAAACTTTGAATATATTTGGCATTCGTCTTTCTCATTCATTGTTCATGGCTCGATTTTTATGATACCCTAAATATTGTTTTTAAAATGTTTAATGGTGTTTTTATATGTTTTGATCACTTAAATTAGATGTGTTGACTTTTATTATTACGGATGACTTGCTTGATTTATATTTTTTTGCTGAGTGCATTTATTTCCCCCTGAATCTATCAGTGTATTATTTACGGTTTCTCTATCCCCAAACACCAACAAATATTAACTGGGGAGATGTTAGGTAAAAAATCATGTTAAAGACATAATCCACATTATTTGTATTCTGAAACTATAAATAAAATCAAACAATTGTGAAGTGCAGCTCTTCCAATCTTTTCCCTCCCAAAATGGCTAACTGATTTCTTCCCATCCCTCTTTCTCCCATGGTGAGAAATCTCCCTTTTGCTGTGGGTTTTGGTGAGGTGCAGTGTTCAGGAGGACGGAAGAGATACACATCACAATTATGTGATTTTTGTTTATGTTTTCAGGATACACATAATGTAGATTATCATCAATGCGATTTTCTACCCCAAAACAACAACAACTTACACGTATACAGCACCCACCTCGTGGGGTAGCGTCTCAGAACTACCCTGCAGTGGCAGAGCCTGGTTCTGAGCTGAGAGAGGGGGGTGGGGTGGTGGGGGGTAGAGGTGACTGTAAGCACAGTTGAAAAGGTTTTCAGGCGGAACAAGAAAAAGGAGGAAGAGAGGGCAAAGATTGAGGGCGCGTGTTCCACAGTTTCGGAGCGTAGTGCTGAAAACGCGAACTCCAATGGTGGAGCAGAGGGTGTGAGGCACAAGTAAAAAAACATCAAATTACATTTTATGAAGCCAAGCGTAAGTTTTTTTTTGACAGAACAACTGAAATACAAAATATCAATATAAAATGTATTAACGCATGTGGTTTGTTGTGTATTGTAACAGCTTTTATACCTGATCAATCAGGTGTGACAGAAGATGACCTAGTCCTGGAAGTGGTGATAATGATTGGCACCGTGTCAATGGACGATTCATGTGCTGCAATGTTAGCCAAATCAGGAATTATCCCGGCTCTCATTGAACTTCTAAATGGTAAGGATGTCTACCACCATTTGTGGTTAGTGTGTATGATTATGGGTTTAATTGGGCACAAGTGTCCAGAAATGTACTCTCCAAGCTATAAATGTCAAACTAAGATGAAATGTAATCAGATAATCTTTCATATCTGTATTGCATCACATATTGGTCAAGACACTTTCCAGCCAAACAAACTATTAACTCTCCATCAAAAACATCTGGTATAAAGTTAGCTGCACTGTACTTACTCATATAAGTTTCTGGAGGCAATTATACAACAATCGCTACAGCACCAAAGGATTAAGTTAGATCTGCATTCAGAATAAATGCTCTCTAGCTACCCTCTTTACTAACTCCCCCCCACCACCCCCCAACATGCACACACATATACACTTATGCCACGTCCTAATTTACTCACTTATTTTTAAGTACTTGTCATGATTTGCAGTGAAATCAGTTTGATCGTTACAAAATCACAGGTATCAGCATTTTGTGATTAGAGTACAAAGGAATAAAAAGTCAAAGCGAAGCCCTGGTGTAAAGTTTGAAGCTGTCAGTTATTGGAGTTCTGGATATAAATCTTATCGGGTTTTCAGGAAGGTATAAATGCAACTTAAAAGGAGGAGGGAAAAACTTCAAAAGAGTAGAAAGGAAGTTTTCCTGCAGTAGAAATGGGCTGAACTATGTTTCAAGGTAAGTAGCAATGTGATACTTTGTCAAAAATGTGGCTAAGTTCAGGCACACAAGCAATCACTTCTTGGGGTATGAGAACTCCTTAAATGGATATAGTCATACAGTATCATTACATTCATTACAAGCCTTTTGCATGACGATTGAGGGAATTTGACAAGATTTGTGTTGCTTTCTTTCCTATAATAAAGCAACATGGTATTGAATGGCACAAACACTATGTCTTGACTTTTCTCACCACTGTTATATTGCGCACCATTTGTGAGTGACCTTTTAGGTATTTTTCTGTGGTGTTGTGCAAGAGTTGCCAGTATTCTGTGGCCACATTCCTTAGCTAAACATGAACAAAATGTTGCTGTGAGTGTGTGTAGATAGATACTTCTGTAGCTTGGCAAAATGCCCGGGTGTTGATTCAAGTCAGGGCTTACCTTCCACCATCCTTTTTGTTGGTACATTTAGTATCTGCCTCACACATTTGGCAATGATCCTTTGAAGCGCAAAAGTTTTAGCGTTTTTTTCACATGCTTTGAACTTGCAGTTTAATTGCAGGCTGCAGTGATAAGTGAAGTGCCATTTTGTGCTTTTTGTTTTGTCTTAAAAGCGAGCTAAGATCAGTGCAACTTGTCAGCTAATGCAAAATGATCATTGTCACAATACTTACAAACAGGAAGTGTCTCACTATTAAAGCATGTTTTTATAGAGTACAGCTGTAGTGCCTGCGGTGGTGTTTTGTGAGTAGCCCTAAATGAGTACGAGATGAATAGCGTGGCTTGGTATGCTCATTGTCTTTGTGTTGAGAAAGTTAGCACTGATGTAAGTGCAGCAACACAGTTTATAATAATAATAATCCTTGCATTTGATGTAGGCCTTATCACGTCATCAAGACCTCTCAAAGCATTTCACAGGATTTACTGTCTTTTGTGGGCGAAATGCGCAGCCAATTGCACACAAAAATGTCGAACAATCAATCAGCCATGGAGTGAATGATCATTTTTTCTTTATTTGGGGGATTGTTGGCCACGACAGCAGGAGAAACTCTCTTCTCTTTTCAAATAGTGCCCTGGGATCTTTTTCGCCCACTCAATAGGCAGACAGGACTTACATGGTTCAGTGGCTCCACTTATTGAAGGAAAAATCTGTTAAGCATACAGTTGGACAGGGAAAGGTAAACTGGTCGATCAGCAAAGCAGACAAGCAACAGACAAGGTAAAGAATAGCAAATACTTGGGTAAAAGGTGCTTTGGTGGATCCTATCATTGAGGTGGATTTTATTTTAGCCAGGGCAGGTATGGAGTTTTGCTCTTCAGATTGTTTTAGGGACAAGTCTGACTTCCTTTTGGAAAGCCTTTGTCTTGATTTACCAATCTGCAACAGAGCAATGGTCTGTCCATTACCTATGTCAGGGTGATCCAACCTTTTGGCTGCTGAGGGCTGGATGCCCAATTTAACAAATGTCCGTGGGCCGCATGAGTGATATTTTTGTGTTTCCCTTCCAGAAACATAACATAACATTTACGAATTATGGAGGGAATGGGTGGTCAGATGAAATGAAGGAGGGGTGGGGCGCGCGGGCGGATGAAATCCGCCAGCGGGTCGCCAGTTAGACCACCCTGATCTACGTTATAGCAACCGAATAAATCATTTTCGGATTCAATATCTATCACTGGTAGTTCTTATTCTCATTCTTTGTATTACTCAGAATACCAGCTCTTACTGTCTTCTCTTTGTAGCACCAAGCTGTTTCTTAAATTCACCTGATCATGTCCACGTGCACACATTCTAGCGGGCGTCACTGAAGTGAGGGATCAGGGGCAAGAATCAGCTGATTTCTCCTCTTCTAGCCTCCGCCACCCCCACCCTTCCCCAGCCCAGGGATGCTGGTGCCAGTGGTAATACTCCACACCATCCAGACTGAGATCACCTATCTCTCAACATTTGCCAAGGATCAATCATGGGCACTTTCTGATCTACATGGCTCAGAACCACACCACATGTCGTGTGATGTGATCTAAGGAAGCAAAGTGTGAAATATGTAATTCCTCACAGATGTCTGATCACAAATGCATTGAACACATGAAGAAGCAGAACTTGTGAAAATAACTGGGGATTATTTGGAGTATTTTCAAGTCCCTAATAGGTTGCAATCCTTCAAGGAAATGTATAAATCTGAAAGTAGTCAGAGGGTGATGAAACGTACAGAGTGTGGAGTGCTAAAAAGCAATGCTGAATTAATCTTTCCATTAGATTGAACTACTCCCTCTGGTGGTTTAGAAGTCCTTTCAGTAGACAGTGAGAGGACTTGTACCATTAATATATTTGGAAAGTTGAATGTAGTTACAATTGGATGAAGGTCATTTCAATAAATTGAAACTTAATAATGCAAAGAGCCCATTATCTGCACTAATTGGAACAGGGCGCGTTGTGAATATGGAAAGCAGATTACGGGTCTTCACACAAAATACAAATTGGCTGCAGTGCTAACCTAAAGTTTCTTCCTTCAAATGTTATACTGTAATTATATCTGTCTTTTGGATGCGATGCTAAGCTGAGGTCATATCTGCCTGTTCACATGAACATTTAAGATCACATGACACTATTCGAAAAGAAAGGGAGTTTTTCCCAGTGTCCAGGCAACAATCCCCTAGATAGTATTAGTTGTTCACTTCATGGCTGCTTAACTGCATTATTATTGTGCACATGTTGGCTGCTGTATTTCCTGTAGATACGCAGTCAGTACACTTCACACTAAGTCCCATGTTGTGCTTTGAGACGTGTTGACGATGAAGTGAGATACTAAATCAATGCAAGGATTTTTATTAATTATAATAATACTTGCATTTGATATAGTGCCTTATCACACATCGAGACATCTCAAAGCGCTTCACAGGACATATTGTAAAGTGCAATGACTGTATTTTGTGGACAAAATATAGCACTACTTATTGCCAACCTTTTGTCCCTTCTCTTCTCTCCTTTCTCTAGACCTGAAATTCCACCTAGTCTTAGTCTGTAAAACCATTAAAATTTGAGAAATGAAGAGAAATTGCAGAAGATTCTTAAATTCAGTCTTAATTTAGAAAGTGTTCTGTTTCGAGAACTGTAGAATCTGGTTTCCAAATTAAAATTGAATTAAACCATTTTCCACAATTTTAAGATCTGGAAATAGATCCATGTTTGTGGAGGATCTTTTTGGCTCTTACAGGATACAAGAATAGGCATCTGTTCTCTGTTCCTCTTCTAGTCTTTGTTTGGTGATACCACTACGCTCATTGCTATTCTGAATTTTTCTTCTTGTCCTATCCTTGAAATACATTGTATTGCACACTCTTAAATCCCCACTGTAACTATCAAAACTCCTCACACAGTCTTCTCATTCATTTTTTTCTCAGGACCACATGACCTGGAATTCTATACGGCCCTCTGTTTTCCTTTCCTCCTGCAAACTACAGGCTTTGAAAATCTAACGTTGGCATCACTTAACCAATTTGTGACTATTATCTGCATGTTTAGATTGATGCTAACGATCCCCTGGCATTATTTGGAGNAAAAAACTATTTACATTTATATAGCGACTTTCTCACTGGGAGGAAATGTCAAAGCACTTCTCACAACTGACTGGGAGTCCAAGCTTGGGTGGGAGCAAATGGAGAAGGGAGTTTCTCACGGTTTGCTGGCCAACAATCCTCTGGATAAATTAGTCATTCACCTCATGTTTCTTTGTGGGACTTTGCTGTGCACAAAATGACTGTTTTTGTTGCTCTTTTCATAGCATCGCACTGAACTGCCAGCCTTTGCCATTTACATAGGCTTTCACTCTGTTGTGTTCAGCGTTTCAGAAATAAACATGTTTTAATGTAGCTTGATTCTCAACTTTTCTGTGATTCAAAACAAAATATACACGAAGGTTATTATTTTTCCAGCGGTTGCAACTTAGAATAGCCATGTCTTTTGGAAACTACAAAGAGCACTGAATAATTATAAGGTTCATGGAATTTCTACCCTTCCCCTCTCATGCATACCATCTCTTTATTCCACATCAATAATACTTCGGAATTAACTATTTGATGATCGCTGGAAGAATTAATATTTTATGATTTTAAAGTAAATTATTTGCAGCACAGTTTCTTGTGTTAAATTGTTTTAAGAACTATTCTGCAACTTGATTTCTTCACAACTGAGAGTAAAAGGTGCTTTTATTGTATCATTGTAGAATTATCCTATGCATCTAACTTATGATTCCGAGTGGACAGTGATCGTCAGGCAGGTTAAAATAGAAAGTTGCATGAAGAATGCTAGACCGCTCATACTTCAGCTGTCTCATTCAGTGACTGTCTCTCCTCACCTTTAACAATTGAGTTGAAAACACTATTGAGAATAAAATTGGAGGGCAGATGTGTAACATCTGTTATTTCATTGTGAGATCAGATCCTAACCAGGCATTAAGGTGTTCACCATAATTCTTTCCCCTCTTTTATATTCTCAACTCTGTTCGAATGGACTACTTTCAAAACAAAATTGCTAGATCTTTTTGAGGTTTCTGCACATTTAGACTGTTGAGTATTTTGTTGACAGGACATTTAAACATAATGGTCTCAGGATCCTAACCAAAGACTAACTACACAGAACAGTGTAAACTGCTAGACAAAATGTATTATAAAGTTCCCTCATTATAACACAGTCTCTGTTTTCACATACAGTACTCCCAGAAACCATGTTATGGATGTTGCTATTGACTGCTGCTTTTTGTCCACAAAATACACAGTGAATCCACTTTATTTTGTGAAGAGCTATGAGATGTCTAAACAACATAATAAGGCGCTATATCGAATGCAAGGATTATTATTATGCTTATGATGTTGAATATCGTTTTACAAATCTTAATCCTTTTTGGTTAGTTTTATCTCTCCCCCTCTTCTCCACAGCTAAACAAGAGGATGACGAGTTTGTTTGCCAGATTGTGTACGTCTTCTACCAGATGGTTTTCCACCAAGCTACCAGAGATGTGATTATAAAGGAAACCCGTATCCTTTTCATGACATTGACTGACTGGGATTCCCTCTCCCCATTCTGTTTACATGTACATGTACATTTACATGTACAAGCCTACATTGATTTGCCAGAGAAAGGAGTATGTACAACCGTTAAATTGAAACCTTAGATAAATTGGGATGTAGAAATTCACAGCAGTTCTCAAAAACAATCACAAGATAAGTGCAGAAAACCGCTTGGCTCCATCGGGCATAGTGCTTCAAGCATGATGTCGTGCTTCAAAGTGGAGCTTCTTGGCTCTGCACGGTAACCTTGCATGTCGCATGATCAGTTACGTCACCAAGCGATGGCAGGCAATTTAGCCCCATTATAAAGTCGCTTGGGATTTCATGGACCCCTAGATCACCCTATTACAACAGGTTTTTACTGAAGCTGGCATTTAAGACCAATGGACGTCTTATATATAACAATTTTGCACTTCCCGGCTGTTTGTGGGACATTGTTGTGTACAAATTGGCTGGTGCTTTCAACAACTCTAAAAGCCACAAAGTCATTCCACTTTGCACTATATTCTGTGAAGCACTTTGAGGTGTCCACCCAACATGAAAGGTGCTATATCAAATGTAAAAATTGTCGTTATATTTTTGTTTAAACCCTGTTAGTTCTAAAGTATGTGAATGAGCCATCAGCTGCCTCTTCCGATGGCAACGTAAGGTGGTATATCAATGGATTTGAATGTTTTGGCTTCTTCCTATTGTTCGTTTTCTTGACTTGCCCCAACTTTTGGACATTCTGTCTGCCTGTTAAGATGGAGATTACAAACTCCACTTTTCAGAGAGGGGACATTCCTGATGACTTAGGCATTCACCAATACTGCAAGGTTGCTCTTTAAAAGAGCCAGCAGAGACACAATGGACCAGTGGATGTCTTACCATACATAGCATTCAACATTTTAGAATCATTCACTTCTTGGCTGGCCTTCTGTCCTGTAAATGTCTATGGTTCACCAAACGGCAAATGGTTGCCTACAAATAGCAGTCACTACACTTGACAGCAATTATCTGAGTACATTCGGCACTGTGATAAGCCACCATTAGATGCTAATTCTTTTTACTTGTGCTTCTAATCCTATAAACAATATAAAAGGTTTTCCGGCCCAGTTCTAATTCTGATGAAGGCTCAAACTTAAGAGCATTGATCTTTCTAATCCTGATGAGGTCTGCTGCACAGCTCCACGTTTTTCTATTTAATTATTTCAGATTTCGAGCATTTTGTAGTTTTTTTTCATTTTAAAAAATGCTTCAATTTATTTAAATGTCCTGTTAATATTCACAGAGAGAAAGAAACACTGTAGAAGTTAATAACATATTTTCAAGTTAATTTCTTACAGATGAATATACAATAATGATGAAAGGAATACATATGTATTTAGTTAATACACCAGGCAAATGCTTCAATTAAACAGTGACTGAACATGATTATTTTGAAATTGTTCATTATAGTTAGATTATATTAAATATCAACTTAGCCCATTAATAAAACCAAGGAGATGGGTGGGGGGTGGGGTGGGGGTAGATGTGTGGCCCATGATCTTGTTTTTTAAAAAAAAGGGATTTATTTAGACACAATCTTAACCTTTTTTTGCATAAGAATTTCAGGAATTTCTGTTTTTTAATGGCAATGTTAGATTTTCGCCTGTGCAAAAGTGTGGCCTCTCAGTTACTTCAAATTGTATTAACAGAATTCCATGTAATCCCCTGCCAATAGGTATTTCACCAAAAGAGAAATATAAATTTAGAAGCTCTGTCTGCTGTCTCCTGTTGTGCTTTCAGCTGTTTATTTACTGTCAAAAACTGTAGGTTATGTATTCTTATATGAGTTTCCAAGATGCCCATTCTGCACTGATGTCCGTGCACTCGCTCTGTCTGTCTGTCTGTCTGTCTGTCTGTCTGTCTGTCTGTCTGTCTGTCTGTCTGTCTGTCTGTCTGTCTGTCTGTCTACGTACACGCACTAGCTTCTGATTTCTGAAGCATTTATCTTCTTGACAGAAATGCTTGATCATACCCATCTGTAAGGACAAATTAACACTACCTACCTGAGTATGCTTACCGCAACCATGGAAGTGGGAAATTGACTCACATCTCAAGGATATTTCCAGCAGCTGATTTTCCTTGATTTTTGTTCCATTGGAAGCTTTAAATACAAATCACTTATAGATTACCTTCATTCGCTATCTTGTCCCACCTGTTAGACCAAAACCTGAAGACTGTCTAATTAGAGAGCCTGAAGAATTCATTCCTTATCCCTCTTTCAGAGGTTGGGTTTTCTCTAAAGTTTAGTTTAACTTTCCACTATCTGTGGACGTTGGGACCATCCTTGTGAGTGAATTTTAAGTGTAGTGGATACATTATTTCAGATATTCCAGATGTTTGGAGTGAGGAGGGGGAGTTCACTCATATACTTTAGTGATCATACCATTTCCTAAGTAGTGTTTGGGGAATCTACTGGTAAGTTCTTTATAAAAGACCTAATCTGAAGTGGAAGAAAAGGTCAAAATTGATTCAAATCCCTATTTCACTCAGATTATTTTCCATTTAAAACTCACTCGGGTTCCTTATACTATTTCTGCATTGTACTTGTCCTGCTGTGTATCCCCCACACCCTCCACACCAGCATCGGTGGCTGAGCTTTTAATAATTAGACCCCAACCTCTGGAACTCCATGCCTGTATCCCTCTGCCTTGCCTCATCTCTAACTTTGAATCCCACTTTAAAATCTCGCTGGACAAAGAGCGGGATATCTTGCCAAACAGTACTCGCAATGGCAAGCTATGAGGTTTTTGCTGGTTAGACTCCAGCAGTACCTCAACATCACCAAACTTTGGCTCTTGCTAACCTGCGCTGAATATTTTCTGGAATCAGGTCAGCAGGATGTATCCCTCCAGGGAGAGAGTGCACATTCCATTCCAACAAATATCTCAGCAATTTCCATGTAGAAGTTGGATGCATGGAATTCTCAGTTTGGTTTAGATACTCTTAAGCTTGGTGATGGGTTTCTGCATGTGTCAGACACCCATCCGACCCCCCAAAAAACTTAAAATTTGCCTCTTTAATTGCTCATCCAGTCACCTCGCCTGCCCCTTCTTTGCTTGGCGTCCAACTTCACCATTGTAAAAATGCTATGCCACGTTATCATAACATAACATAATATATACATACATACAAATTCTTATTGTTTTACCTTGGCAGTTTTAAAAATTGGTTTCTATATGCATGTAATACATATAGGCAGGGTGCTTTAGTAGTTGTACATGTGGCCTTCAAACATCTGGTCTGCAGAACATAGATGAAGTTCATTGTGATATAAAGTCTGTTCTGTGGAAGGCTACATAATATTTCCTTTTACCTATGGAGAAATGCCTGGCTATTGTATAGGAAAAGATTGATAAGATCAGGAATTGATGGGAATCATTGGTGTGAATCAGTATGTGAGGCTAATGCTGTACCTAGAGGGTTACCTTATGTGTTTCATTTCAATTTTAAACAACTTCTTTGTCATAAGTAGTTATTTTTTCCAGAAATGAGATAAAGGGGGCAAACTATGAGAAAAGATTGACCATAAAATCTTGTACTTCAGCTCCAATGTGTCCAGGAAGAAAATGAAGTAGCGAAGGAAAGTCTGATATTCCCAGTACTCACTCACTTACAAGGTTCTCCATTATAGCACTCTTGAAGTTGTAAGACTACTGGAGCTTTGTCTGTCAACTTTTCTTGTATTACATTTTATTCTGTATTATGGGACAGTTACTGCAGCATGCACCTGGTAATAAAACTCAGGGTTTTACTCCCAATAGTCCTTTGTTTAATGAAGGGGAAATGCACTGACAGCACATTGCTCTCCCTTAACATACTGCTTACAGAGGCTCCAGCCTACTTGATTGACCTGATGCATGACAAGAATGCAGAGATACGGAAAGTCTGTGACAATACATTGGACATCATTGCAGTAAGGCTTTACTCATTTCACATTTTGTTGTGTGTTTAGAATAAATGAAATAGTTGCATGGATTTGTAAACTAGGACCAGACCTGCTGTGAAAGAAGGACCTATTTAATCTGGGCAAAAATAGAATATTTTTTGAGATTCACAAACTGTGGTTTGTGGATCAAAGAACTCCATTTCTGTTAGCAGTTTGTTTTCCTTCCCTTATTACCCCTCTCGCAAAAGTGGTGTTTGGTGGAGTATTCATTTCTGAGGGTGCTTCATAGCTGACCTTAATTTGTGAGATTAACAAAGGCAAATTTTGAGGATTGCTGCAAATTGTACATAACCTCCTTAAAAAATGTATGGGAAGAATTCCAAGATTGAATGAAGCCAGCAGAATGAAGAAACAGGCTAAACTCTAGGTGGAACGATCACATCTTGTAAATAAAGCAATCAACAAAAGGCAAAATACTTCAGGTGCAGATCCCCCACTTCCAACAGTCCCCAGTTCTGACAAAAGGTCATCCACCTGAAACATTAACTCAGTTTCCTCTCTCCATAGATGCTGCCTAAGCTACTGAGTGTTCCCAGCGACTTTTGTGTTTATTTCAGTAAATCAGTAGTCTGTATCACTGACATTTAGTATAAGTGTCAATTTCTAACTAAATTCTTGCTAATTATGCTGCATTATATATTTAATATTGCCCTTGATAGGCTGGTTCAGATCTCTTGCCTCCTCCCCCATTCCTACAGTAAATGTAGTTTGTTGCATGTTAATTTTTCCATTTTTTTTCTCAATTAACATCCGATAGAAAATTTGCTGTTTCATTCCAAATCCTGGATAATTTGCCAATCTCTAGGATGGTTTTTACTGAATGCAAACGCCTGTATGTTAATTGAGACTGGCTTCTTTCCAGCAGATAATTTAGTTACAGAAACATTCTGCAATGTTATTGGTATTTCTGTGTTTTGATTTGCTTGAGCAGTATACTTGAGAGCAAACCAAGATTACTAACGAAACAGTATCAAAAATCAAACTTTGGAAAAATACTGCTCTGATAACAGGGTGCTTTCTTTTTGATGAATTTACTTTCCCTTATCAAATAATACTAAATACACTATCATACTGTTTTGGAGTGACTAAAAATTAATGTCCCTGGACTTGATTTCAGCAATGCATGAAGTACAGTAGTTAGATAGTCACAAAAGTCAAACCACAATGAAATGTTCATTCGAAATATTGATTTTAAAATGCTACATGTTTAAATGTGCATACATGTTTGATATGTTATATATTTTCAATGCAGAAATAGTTTAGAAATCATTGGTGCTGTATTTACTGACTGGGTCGCTGAGCAATACAACTATGTCCTATGAGTTGAGGAACTACAGTAGTTATTTAATAGATTGTGAAGTGTAGAAATATTGGATTCAGCCAGAAAACAACAACAAAAAATTATACTTGTGTAGCACCCTTCACGTCGGAAAGACATCCCAGGGCCCTGGACAATCAGGGGTTTTGATTGTCAATCAGGGAATCAGACATTCCTAGATTGGGAATTACTAACTTAGGAACAAACTGAACAAAAGACATAGTCTTTTCTCCTTTTCTGTTTTAACATGTCCGTGACCAGTCATTAACTTTGGTTTCATTTTATTTTCCTCGAATGTCAAATCTGGTTCGCTTGAATCAACACTATGTATGTGACGCATCTGATTCCAGGATATCTATTCCCTCCCTTCGAAGAAATGTAAACGTTAGTTGGCAGCATTCATCAAGTTGGGCAGCCAGCTGAAAATTCCAGCTTCAATTTCAACCACTTGATTGCTCTTTGTCACTGAAGCAATGTGCCGCTTTTCCGTTTCAAACCGTTCGATCTCACATGGTGAAAATGAGCTGACAAGGCCGCATTGTTGCTGTGCGGAGTTGCGAGCAACCCGTTCAACTTAGAGAGATCAAACTAAATACCAACATGTTCTTTTTATCAAGAGGAGCGAAAGCTTTAGATTATTAAGGAACAGCAGGAATTCCCCCCTTAAGTCCTCTGGTCTGTTTTTGTTAGAGGCAGAATTCTTGCCTCTCGCCAATTATGTGCCTGCTCAGACTTACCTTTAGATCCACCCTCAGCTAACCCTGCCCCCAACAGTGAATAATTCTATTGCATAGTGAACCAAAACTAAAATGTTTAGACATTCAACCCAGTTGTACATTTGTCACACAAAGCAGTCATTTGTGGTTAAAGGCAACTTTAATAATAGGGTATTGGTTTCAGGCAGAAGTACAGCATTGATCTATCTTGCCTAGCCATCCAGCATTCCAAAATATTCTTTCCATGTGGCTATGTCAACATCTAATGGCCCTGCATCCATTTAATTTCCAGGAATATCAAATAATGCCCTAAATCCTTCACATTTCCAGAAACATTACTTTTAATTTTAACGCAAGATGCATTGAGCTCATAGTCTATGCTGACACCTCAATGCAGTCTTGGAGAAGCGAGCACTGCATTGTCAGAGGTGTCATCCTTCTGATGAGATGTTAAACCGAGGTCTCGTCTGCCTGTTCAGATGCTTTTTAAACATCCCATGGTACTATTCGAGCAACCCCTCAGATAAAAATAATTGTTCTGGCTGCTTGTGTGAAATTGCTGTGTGCAAATTAGCTGCAGCCTTCACCCACAAGTTCACATTTTACGGAAAAACTCTGAAGCGCTTTGAGACATTTCAACAATATATGGTGCAACGCAAATGCAAGGTTTATTATAATAATTTTTGATGCTAAAATATAGATGGCTTGGTGTAACGAGCCTTCTGAGCCATAGAGTGGTGTGGTTGACCAGTATCCAGTTCTCAGCCAGCTCTCAGACTCAGCGGCTAGAGTTTGTTAATTTCTCCTTTTGATTCATACAATGACCCTCGTGGTCACAGAATGTTTGCACAAAACATTTGTCATTTTGTTGTGGAAGCACTGCCAACCATTAATGAGGTTAGATGTTTGAATTATGATTATCATTTTTATCATTTGCTGAAATAGATTGAATTGGGTTAGCTGTATGTACTCAAGTGTTTTGTTGATGTGGGAATACAATTCCCCTTACCTCAAGTGTACTGAACTCCAGATGTAAGAAAGCAAAAGAAAGACCTGTTTCTCATCAGTTGATATAGAGGAGAAGCAGAGGGGGGGCATTTTGTCTGTATTACAACATGTTAATCAGATAGGTATGATTCAAACCAGTGACGTGAAGACAGAGGTGTTGGAGAGAGGAAACAGACAAAAACAATACAGAAAGTTTACGATTATCATAACAGATGTGGCAGAGTATTAGTGCCTGACTCGTGTTGCCGTTTGGCCTACCCTAATTGTGCTGGTGAGTGATGATTCCTTTGGAACTGCAAACCCATTCCCTGTCCTGACTTCTCTACGAAGCTGTGGATTTGTTCGAGTATTAATTTGCTCATGTGTGTTTTCACCCACAAAATACACAGTCAATTAAATTTACAATATATCCTGTGAAGGGCTTTTGGACGTCTCGACGACGTGATAAGCCGCTATATCAAATGAAAGGATTATTATTTATTATTATAAGGATTATTATTAATTCCCCTTATTTTGATTCAGTAACTAACTGGATAATTTTTCCTCCTTTATATGCGAGTGAAAATATGCAGAACTATTTCCCTCCGAAAAAGATCCTCACTGCTTTATCTGAAAAGCACAAATCATTGCTGAATTTTATCTTTTCGTGCCTGCTACTTCACTGTCAAGAGTTGACATTTTTGAAGCAGGCATGTTTGTAGCTTCCTTCCTCCAGTGATGGGTTGCAGCCGCTTGCGAGCTGGCTATCTGTAATTAACATCTGCTCATCCAAGTCAAGCTAGCTCTCAATTCTAGATAGACTCTTTAGACTCTCAGCGCCTTGGGACGTCCTCCCAACGTCAAAGGCACTATATACATATCATTTGTTGTGGTTGATGAGGACTCTCTTGTATCTCAGGGCTTTAAAGTGTTTGTTTTAGGTCTATAACCAATAGCTTTATGAGGTTTTAAATTGGATCCAAAACAATTTCCTACCTCCCTTGACTCCGACCCCCAGCTCAGTGCCCAGCCAGCAGTATCGAGTGATATGGGAAGCCTTTCTGACGTGAAAAGCACTGTGTAAATATAAATTTATATTGAATGAAATCCAACAAGAAAGAAAATTGTAACCACACATAGAGGCTGGTGTTCAGAAAGTTGTTTCTGCTGCTGAAAATATTATATTCTCTTCCTCCCTTTACTTGATATTCACTTCTGAATAGGTTTAATTAACAAATAGAATTGTTTTCTTCCATAAAACAAGAGAATCTGTATTTTTATGTACCTTAGAATACGACATTTAAAGAAAAGCTAAGGCATACAACCTAATAAAACTCCTCAATATCAGCTCCTTCAAGACTCTTTGTCTGGAAACCACACAGTCCTTCCTACTGTGTCTTTTAAGAATATTTCCCCATGTGCTGCACTATGGAATAGTAGTTATACAAATTAGTAATGGCAAATTGGCCCCAAAAAACAGTATATCTTGTGAAGAGCTTTGAGTTGTTCTCCAGATGTAAAAGGCACTATACCAAATATAAGCATTATTTTTTTCTTCCATATGTACATTATATATACGCACAAAAGTGGATTATTGCTACCAAAAGTACAATTGCTGGAGTTAAAATAGAGGCAGTTCACCATAGGATTTACTAATAACGAGTGAAGAATCTTTTTGCTAAGTTTAGTAAGTCACATTTCACCTCTGAAGTTTCAGGTGGTGGGTACCCGGAAGTAGGCCATGATGTAGTACCAATTCCTTGTTAGGGTTGCTAGTGTGAATCCCTATGCAAATCTCCACCTGTTTTGACGCTGTTGCATTTCAAGAGCAAAGACTATTCATATAATTTATATAAGCTACTTTTATATGTACTAAGATGACCTAGAACCAAGCCGAGCCACATGCTGGTGAGAAATAATGTTGACTACCTGAGGAAGACTTGTACAAGAAGGTCTTGTGGGCTCTTTGAGACAAATTTCATGTCTTGCTTTCAGGGTTTGGAATACAGAACAAAACTTATTACTGCAGATAAAGGTGAATTTTGCTTGATTAATTATGTTTTTCTGTGCTAAACAACAACACAAATTGCATTTATATAGCACCTTTCACGTCAGGAGCAAGCAGACATTCTTGGAAAAATCACCTTCCCTTTCTGAGACTATTTTTGGAGTCTCATAAGTGGCAAGACTTTGCTTTCCCACACAATAAACAGTCGTCCCAAAGCACTCACTTTGCATCCTATTATTCTGGCTATCATGCCTCTAACCGACCAACCTATTCCCCAGTAACGCCATTATGTGTATGCTTGGTCTTTTGTCTGATTTAATGATTTTTGCGTTGTATTTTGACTGCTGAACAACCACATGCTGAGTGAGCATCAATTTATTTATAAGACAGGAAACTTGACTAACTGCCAATAACAGCCATGTCCATTATCTTAAGTGCCTCACTAATTAAAAATGCCCTTGTCTTATACAAGTTCCGGCAAAAATTTTAACAGAGACTTTGTTTGATCATCCAGGTTAATATGAGTACTCAGGAAGAAATCCTTCAAACTGACCAGGAGAAGGAGAGTTGATTTGCAGAATAGGTATTCCCATACCTCACCCTCCTCAGTTCCAACCTCAAAGGATAATATTTTGGGAGAAACTTTTTGAAAAACTTGTTTCTTGTGAGATATGCCAGAAATCCATATCCAAAGATCATGCCATCTCTAAACAATGGCAGTAGCTGTACAAACTCATAGCCTCAATGGTGATGCAGCATTTCACGTTTAGTGTGGCGTGCTTTTAGCTTTGAAGCAATCAGCTCATCATTTAGCTGGACACAACATAAGTGCACCTCATGTAGGGAAAGGCTGCTTCTTTGCAAGAGCACTCTGGCATTTATTGCTGTGTCCATAATGCTTAATTGCCAAAACTTGTACAAAGATATGTCAGTTTATTCCAAAAGAGAATGTCCAGTCTAACTAGTATATTGTTCCAGTGCCTTTTGCTTTTTAAACTTATGTTGTTTTTTCCAGTGCTGTGCTCAAAACCATTATATACAAATTTATGGTTTTTACCTGCTAGATCTGTCGAGGTCTTTATGCTCCTGATTCTCTGGAGTATTTTTTTTTTAAGTACTGCATTTTTCAGAATTTCAGACTTACAGAAATTTACACAAGTTTCTGTGAGTAAACACAGCAAGTAGAGTATTGAGCTATCCTGGGACACTGAGGTTTTAACAGTCGAATTGGTGAATCTTATGCTGTTGGCTACTTGTTAGAATATCTAGAGATGTATAACTGTCTGGGGTTGCCCTTATATTGTGCAGGAAGCAATGGGCACTTGATTCCAGCTAAAAAGAGTTGCAGTGGATTGCAATTCCAGTCATTTGGTTCTCCCAGTTGGTTGGTTAACTCACCCACATGTAAGGGTATACCTTTATTCATTCTCCCACTACACCTTAAATTGAGTAATCTGCACATTACAAATCTCTAGTCATTTGTATTTCAGGGAGAATTTGAAATTTTGAAGCCACTTTTGTTTTTTAAATAGTTGCATTAATTTCATACCATTTTTCATTCCTATTCAAAGCACTTCTGAACCCGTCACAGCTCTGCATTTTTTTCTTATCTTACTGAATGCCATCAGAGACTTGACTAGCTGGTTAAAATGGGTTTGGCGTTCTTGATCGAGGAGTAGTTGCAGGTTTTTTCCCAAATCCCGCTAAACTGAACTTTTTTTTTATTGATCTTTAATTGTTGTGTGCATGGTAGGGTATTGTGAAAATGGTCCCATGTTGGTTGGACCATTTAGACTCCCAGAGCATCCTGCAGACTGAGGGGTATAGCTGCCTTGTCCCATGGTGTGCAAAGGTGGTGCGAATGAGCAATAAAGTTACAGTATTGATGTCACAAATGCCCATAAAGGCATATTTGAAATGAAAAACAACTGCCTGCTGTGGTAGGAAGACAGCGCCAGGTGTTCTGGAAGGATGAGATCAAATGGACCAAGGACCTTCCTTATTGAAGCCAGTGCTGTGATCTTGTGACTTCTGTTAAGTATAGTGCAAAATTGTGTCTTTGTTAGTGAGTTACCTATTTAGACTCCAGATATATTTGCTTAATTCACATCTCCATTTGGGTTTTGACAGTATGCACAATGCGCCCAGTATTGACTCCTATAAATCAAGAAAAAAAACCTTAAGATAGGTTAATACAACACGCAGTGAGCTCGGTTAAATCCTTTTTCTTTTTAGTAAAGATTTTTTTTCCCTGAAAGCAGTTCATATAGAAAAGAGGCAAAGTAATGATTAGTGAGTTCTCTAAAGTATTGGCTTTCAGACCCTGTTCGTTTGATTTATATTAAGTATGACGGTTCACAAGAGTTGGTTTTGCTAATTGATGAAAAGTTGCTGAAATTCGCATATTTTACTATTGTTATGGAGTTCTGACGAAAGTTCATTGACCTGAAACGTTAACTCACTTTGTTCTCTCCATTGATGCTGCCTGACCTGCTGAGTGTTCCCAGCAACTTCTGTTTTTATTTACGATTTCTAGCATCTGCAATATTTTGCCTTTTGTTTCACATATTTTACTATTGTCAGGCTGTGCAGTACTTTGTAGCATAGTGGCATGTCTAGTAGAGTTGAACTGAGGGCAGGGAATATTGGAAGAAAGATAATTTGCACTTGGGGTAGAAAAGAGGCAAAGTAATGATTAGTGAGTTCTCTAAAGTATTGGCCTTCAGACCCTGTTCGTTTGATTTATATTTTAAAAATGAAGCCAAATAGGACTGGGAGTCTTTTTTAGGAGAACAAATGGTGAACAATTCTGCCAAATGAAACTGTATGAAACCTGATTCGTTCTTAATAAAGTTGCAGTGCAGATCATGAGATACCCAAGCTCATTACATTCCTGGAAGGTTCAAGAGGTTAAGTGTTTGTGTTTACGTAGACAGTCTGCTGGGAGGAAGTTTTCCCTGCAGGATGTGGTATGTCAGTCCACTGTCTGAGGATTCCCACCTCATTCGTCAGACCGTCTAACATGCTTGCAACTTTGACAGGAATATGATGAAGAATGGGCCAAAAAAATTCAAAGCGAGAAGTTTCGTTGGCACAACTCTCAGTGGCTGGAAATGGTTGAGAACCGCCAGATGGATGAAAGCGAGCCCTATATATACGGTGATGATGGGATCGAGACATTCATCCATGAAGGAGACATTCTTGAACGGCCCGACCTGTTTTATAATGCAGGTGAGGAAACTTTGCCTATAATTTCTCTTCACTGCACCCTGTGCTAAGCATGATTAGCTTGGATGATCCTTGCCCAGGGTTCAATCCCACCATGGCCTCACCCCACCCTACCTCTGCGACCTCCTGGAAACTAGCTGCTCACTCCACTCAGCAATTCATGTCCCCCCAAAATCTGTGCTCACGTTCTTTTCGCACTTTTAGTCACATTCCTCCCCCCCCCACCGCCGCAACTCGAGCTCCTGGTTAGCTTTGACACGAAAGACGCTTTTATAAATGTCAATTGTTGTTGACCAGCAACCATATGGTTATAGCTTGTAATTCTGAATCATATAAATTTACTCAAAATTACTGAGGCATAAACAGTATATAGTTTGGGACATATGCAATATATAGGTTGGGATATGACATGCATGCAACTGCCAGGAAAGCGAACTGGATGGACCTTGGTCTTCTTTCGTCCAGCAATACTTATTTTCTAATCTTATGAATTGGATTTAAAGAGAAGATCATAAATTGTATATGTTAAAATGAGTAAAAAAAAAACTTACTGAGAGAAGTTTCTTGGCAGAATAATTGCTAAGCCCTGAGCTGAATTAGAACCAGCCGAGATATGATCACCTAACTGAGGATCTTTGACCAAACCTGTAATTTCACTGGTTAGCTTCCTCAAATTGCTTGGCAATATGAGTAACTCATCCCAGCTAATTTCCCCCAATTATCATCAGTACACACTGTTTAAACAAAGTAGGGCATATTAAAAAGATTTAATTGTTTTGTGGTTGAAAGTTTTGCTGCTGGTGAGATCCTTTTTCAAATCAATGGGATCCTTTGAATTTTCTTCCTCAGCTATGGGGATGGTGGGGTAGATCTTCATCATGCTGCTGGTTAGTAAAGTTGGCAGATCGATGAGGGAAATCACTGGAGATAATCCCTTTTCAGAGCTCATAGCTCTGTGTTTTGCCTCCACGTTTTCAGTGTTTTTTTCTTCCTACTATTGGAATACATTGCAGTTACGTTGCTCCCATAAGCAAGAAATCCTTTTTACTGGACCACAACTGCATCTGTCTCTTTTGGCCAAGTTCAAAGAAAAAGAGTCTCCAGTTATTCAAACAGTCAGTCCATTTGAGACATGGTCTCACAAGGATAAAGCATCATAAAACAGGAAGCTGAGTCATTAGGATTTGATGAATCAGGCAAAAGACATCCAAGTTAACATGGATGTTAGACTGTTGGGAAGGGAAGGCGCCTGGAGTAATCTAAACCCCATCCTTGATCATGGTTCAAATCCTACTCCTTTTGCTGATTGATTTTCATATTTAAAAACTTACCGTATCAATGTAGCAACACTTTGTGGCGTGAGAAACTTTAATCAATATAAAGACAACTGATACTGGATTCTTTGCTGTTTTCTCTTATCCTTTACTTGCCATGTTTCTTGTGGCCAAAGAAAATAGGCGCAGCCCATAATTGAGAGTGTTTGCATCCGCTGTGGGCTTCCTCGTCGTAGCATTAGCCTTACTGCATGATATGTGGGCCTCAGTTAAAAACTAAAGGGCACCTTATTTAAAAGAATTATGAGGTGAAATAGCTCAAAAATTTTAATAATATTGGATGCAGATTCAGAAGCTGCAACCACAATTTTGATTTGATGATCAGGCTGTTGGGCCATTGAATAAAGAAACAGGGTAACCTCCTTTATATCCCAGACCCCAAGTTTATAAAGGGGTGCCATAAAGTGGCCGACTGCCAGATCATCTGGGATCCACTGTCATCACTTCCTGCCATGTTGGTGAGACTTCCTGCGCGTTGCCATTATTTAGAAAATCACATAGGCAGCAACTTGACATCCCAAACATCAGCCGTGGTGCACATTTTTATTTTCAGGTAAGGAAATGCTGGCGGCCACAATCCACTTGATTTTTACGTGAGGTGCATTATAATGGGGTTATCCTGTATTTCTTTCTACAGACCCTCAATTCTGCAAGAGCTCAGTTTTACTGAAAGAACCAATAACCTGAAATTAGAAAAAAAAATCTTGGTTTATAATTTTCATTTGAGTTTTACAATACAGTTTACATTTATGCAGTGCTTTTCACATCGAGAGGATGTGTCTTAGTGCTTAACAGTGTCAGATAGGCACTGGGCTGGGGGTATTTAAAGGGCTATTGTCACTCTGAAAATAAAGTATCTGTCGATTTGCCAGCAAGTTATTTGCAGGATGGAAAGTTGGGGAGACAGACAATCCTTCTTAGGCCCCTTAAAGAAATTCACCTACTGATACCCACCCAAAACAGTGTTGGAGACACCCCCAAAATTCTTGTTTGACATCAGACGTCACTCCCAAGAGGCTATTTTGTTGCTCAAATTGTGCAATCTGTTCAATTATAAGTGTCCATGGCAACCAGTGTAATGGATGAATGTACTGTATGTTATTTCAGATGCAATGTATAACCAACAACATATAAGCCAGTTTTAAAAGGCTGTTTTTTCTTAAAAAAAAGTCAGATCTGATCAGTGTTGAGCTTTTGTTGTGTGTTTGTTTATACATAGATGGGCTGTTACCCCCTGATGGAGCAGTTAGTCCAGATTTCTTTAATGACTTCCATTTGCAAAACGGTGACCTTGTTGGACAGCATCCCTTTAGCAGGTATGATTACTCACTGTGATTTATACTACGGCTTAATAGAAGTCATATTGATGTAAATTAATTTTCCAATTATCCTATACTTTTGCTGTTGAATATGATTTTAGTCAACTTTTAACGCAGCACTGAAGCATTATGTCAAAAGTAACGGCTATAACTCCTTCAAAATGCTANTTTTCTTTCAATTTTTTCAACCCAGAGAGGTTTAAACAATGCATGTGCTGTTGCTGGAAAGCGTCCAATTATGATCAGTGACGGCTTCGAAAGGCAATGACTAAAAGTTGTGCTTGTTTAGATTGCTGGCAGTTTATTCTCCAGGTGTAATTGTTGAAAGGTTTGATACTTCAAGTACAATCTCTTTGTTTCCAATCTGCTGTTATTGCTTAGGACCTGAGATTACTCAGTGACTATAGTACTGACAGTAAGTGCTAAAAGGGTAGCAATTGAAGCTTTGGTTGGACTTGATGACATAAAGTTTGAAATGGTTATGGCTTTCCATATGTGGAAAATCATTTGGCTGAAAGAAACTGTGAAGTTCACTTTTATGGAATTAATTGTTGGAGTTTGTAATGGGGCAGAGGTTATCCTGTATCTGCTAGCACAGATCTAAAGATACTCTTACCTTTTAGCAGTATTTCTCATGGCCCATAGCTCCACTCACCTCCACTGTTAGTCTCTTGGTTTATTTTTCTGTGGTCCGAATTTCCTTGTGACATTATCTATAATACTATTGGCTTTCAAGATCCAATTGAAAATGTTAGCCTTAATCTGACTCCCTGCCTTTAGCCTTGACATAAAGGCCAACAATGAGTGGTGCTTGTCCGCAGAGAGGGAAGAGAAATTTAAAGACTCATCTTCCTGGACTGCACTTCCACACCTCCCAGCTGTTGGCACCAGCAATGTGAGAATGGGATATACAGTGGTTAATCCACTGACCCTCTAATGCATAAACAGGCCAAGCACCCCCCAGATGCCCCCCACATTTCGGAGTTGCTTGAATAGATTACCATGTGCACAGTCAAGTTGAGAACCAGTTAAACGACGAGTGCAATAAAAGTAACCATTGCCAGGAACGTTCTGTAGAAATGTCTTGAGCAAGAATGGACTAGGTGTGAAAATGCCAGAAATAAAGCTGTCAGTCCTGCGTTTTGAAGCATAATTGTTGTTAAATTGCCATCAGGAATGATTCTTTTGAACCCAGATCTGCAAATGTTTCCTGACGTGTTTAGTGCATTTGAAGCATTAACATCTGCAAATGCTAGATGTCCCCTAACACGAACGTGTGAAACCATAGGCATGGTTATTAGGCTGAGTTTCCTCATGCTAAATGTGAGTTTGGGTAAAGTATTTTCAGACAGAATTTTTAAAACTTGGCAAATTATTGCAACAGAAATAAGCTGCATGCAGCTCACAATTTTCTAATTTAGCTTCCTTTACAAGAGAAATCTAATAGCTTCTCACTTCAATTTGTTCTGTTTGTACAGCTAACCCTGTGGGAGAAGTGTCTGCTTCTGCTGCTGTTTTTAGGTTATTAAACACGACACCAAGAACAAAAATCGTCAAGCTTTCGCACACTTTAATCTGCACATAATATTGATTTAAGTCTTGTTGATGATTTTACATCAACCGGGTTACTACATCGAGATAATTGACTCGTTCTGGTTAGACATCTTACAATCACTTGCTGAAAAGTTGCATAAGCAGAGTTTTGTTCCCATTACAGTTACAGATGGTGGGCTTGGTATGTCTCTGTAGCTGTGCTCTCCTTCATTTGGTGAAGTCACATCCAAACAATGAAGGATCATTTCCCCACAAATAAACTTTGTGTTGACTGCTGCTAAAATTATTCCAACAATAACTTTCATTTATATAGCACCCTTCACTCAGGTTAGCTTCTTGGAGTGCTCGAATAGGAATTTAGACAAATGGACTCGGTTATTGTGATAAGATGTGAGTCACTGGCTTTGCCACTTGTACTAGGTAGTTATATGGTTAGCACCATTTGTGGAGAGGTGCAGGAGATTAGTTGGAGGAAACCTAGCTTTTACCCATATACTTAACTGAAGGGAACTGTTGCTATTATTATTAAGTAGCGAAAAATTTGGACAATACTGTCCTGGACCAGTGCCTTGCTTGATAAACCTAATGCTGGAATAAAATGCCTTGCCACCTTCTCACCATAAGACATGTCCATTACTGTCCCTGCTGTCAAGTAGCTTCACTAAGCTGATAACACCCACTAGCCTAAGCCACTCTTGTGTATAGGGAGAAATGTGGGCTCTGCCACTTCAAAGTCCATGGAGCACAGTCACCCCTTTTGTGCAACCATAATAATAATAATAATCCTTGCATTTGATATAGCGCTTTTCACGTCTTCTCGACGTCTCAAAGCGTTTCACAGAATATACTGTAAAGTGAATTGACTCTATATTTGTAGGCGAACGCGGCAGCCAATTGCGCACAGCAATGTCCCACAAACAGTCATGGATTGAAAATGACCAATTTATTATTGTTTTGTTTTTTTGGAGGGATTATTATTAGGCTCTGTGTGGAGTAAGGAAACTTGCCCAAGGTTTCGCCCTCTGCCTGGAATTGAACTCAGGTCTCTCACTTGCAAAGCGAGTGCTTTAACCACTGAGCTACAGGACTCCATCGCCACCATAACAATCATCTGAAGCTTTGATGGCTTCAAACCTTAGTGTGAAATGGGCATCTCATACCTCATTTGAAGATTGAGCCTTTAAATCCTTCAGTACCCATCAATGGTCACTTGAGCGAGCTCATGCTGAGAATCTGCATCCATGGAATCACACCCCTCTAAAAAGGAAAAAGGAGACAAACACATTCAGGACAAGGGATAAATTTGGAGAAGAAAAATACATGTAAAAAAAAAACACCACTTCTCCCTAACTCAAGATACGCAGCAGAAAGATGGAGGTAGATAAATATTTGTTAGGTCAGGGTATTAAGGGATTTGGGGCAAGGGCAGGTAAAGGACAGCTGAGGGTCAAACAAGATGTCTAGGTTCCTGACCAGCTCAGTGAAGCAGGGGATCAGTATCTGAAGCGTAGGAGTAAATATGGAAAGGTGAATTTTAACAGGAATAGTTATCTGTGCTGGGGTAGGTCAGGACAGTGCAAACATACCAAATGTTTATTTGGGCCAAGATAGGGTTAGAATTAGGTACGAGAGTTTTTTGTAAGATGAGTTAACTGGATATTTGCTTCAAATGGAACAACTTGTTGGCTGGTTTCTTTTCCCTTTCCCTCGCTGCCGAACTTCAGCTGAGGTTGATGCAGCGAAAAAAGAAACAAATACATATTAGTTTGTTGGGAGTCTCTGGTGGATCATTAATTATAACTTTTTTAAAAAAGTTGTGGTGATATTAATCAAAATATTCACATTACAAAATGATGCACTAGGTTCATCAGATGTTTAACCTTTTGAGTGAGTCATCACTTCCTGGTGGTGTACTCTACAGTATCAGTGTCAGTGCCTTCGGGCTGGGTTGCATTGCTAGATCATGTTCATGCGTTCAGTGTTCCAGGACTGAGCATCACCAAGTACTGTACAGACTGAAGAAATGATCCAAATGCCTTTTCAAACATAAGTGTTTGTGTATTTAATATATTAGAACTCAATTCCCAAACCATCGCATTTCACCTTATGCAGAGCTTGTTCTTTTTAGATCAAGAATTCTACTGCTTTGAAGTGTAAATCCACTAGCTCATTTTTTCTGCCCCCGCATTTGATGTATATTGACAGGAACTATTATTTAGAAGCTTATTCTGGGGCATCATGTGACAGCATGATGTGCCTTAGCTTTGATTTGTATTGAAGTCATCCGCATCCGTGTCTCAACATTGAAATTCACAAGCATTTATTTGGATCAATCTCATTTGGTACGTCACAGGGCTTTTTGGAACTTTAGGTGCACTAACTTAATATGGTTTCCAGTTTTGTTTACTGACTAGCAAATTGGTACCACTGGTGTTCACTAAACCAATAAAGACCAGAAAGGTTACAAGTTTGATTCCTATCATGTCCTCAGCTGATCTCAACCGAATCAGCGGTAGTCTATTATTGTTGTAGGGAAGTGTATTTGTATGGAGAGTGGGTAAAAACAAGATTAGATTTGGCTTTGATACCCTCTAAAGTCAATCAGCTTGGCTGACACTTAATGTCCAGATTCGTTTGAGGCAAATGGTCCCTTGGGCAACAGACTGGATTGTGCTAATGGAACGGTACATCAGCATGAGTCTTCTGTGTCCTGAAGACACAGACATCAGCATGAGTCTGTGTCTTCAGGAGTGTGGGAGAGAGAACATTGGCAGAATCAAAATTGCTGTAGGTAAGACAGCAAACATTATGCTGGAGTGCTACAGTAAAACTGTTTGTTTTGAGCTCATGGCACTGAATGCAAGTCTTGCTGAGTTCAGTGACAACTCGCATCAACAGTCCTCATTAATGTACTGCTACTTCTTATTATTAGACGAGTGAAGTTAGCTTTGAGAATGCTTTCATTTGTTTACCGCTGGAAGAATGAGCAGTAAAGGTGTAAGGCATTTTGCCCCATGTGTGCCGACAATATTAAATATGTTTCATTTTTGTTAGGTCGTATAACCAATACTTAATTTTCTCTCAAGAATGTAACCACTCAGGACCAAATATAAGGAGGTTGAGTGAAACCTATCTAGATAAAGAAATCTGCAGTACAGCCTTTCATATTAAACTTTATTTTAATTAAAAAAACCTTGGAGTTAATAAAATAATAATAATCCTTGCATTTGATAAAGCGCCTTATCACATCTTCTAGACGTCTCAAAGTGCTTCACAGAATATACTGTAAAGTGAATTGACTGTATATTTTGTAGGTGAAACATGGCAGCCAATTGCGTACAGCAGTGTCCCACAAACAGTCGTGGATTGAGTGACCAAATTATTATTATACAGTATATATATTTGTATTTTTTGTTTTGAAGGGATTATTTCCCCCAGAAAAC